AATTGCAAACCAGAAGGTAATTTTGATATGTTTCATTTTTAACTGGGAATTGAAGTTTCTTGCATATTTAACAGTTTTTGTAATTCCATGATTATTTGCTTTCCAAGTCCACTTATGCATTTGACTAATTTTGTGAAAGAGGCAATAAAACTTCTTGATGTAGTTAATACGGCAAAGCTTCTCCCCAGTTGCAGTTCTTTGTAAATGTGTGATGATCATTCAGTTCTGTCCGTCTATACAGCTTTTGTTATCCCCAGAGCTACGAATTAGCACTGCTTGAGGAGGAGGTGGATATTTTTAATACCAAACACACTTTCCACAAAGTAAAAGTTTTCACCGAAACCATTAAACTTTCCACCCTCCAAGAAAATTATGTCCACTTTCCATTAAAAAAAAAAACAAAAAAAAGAAAAAAAAAAATTGCATAATTTAGTTTTAGCTTAAAACATTAATTTTATTTTACTTTTCATTTTGGATAGCTTCCATATTAAACTGTATTTGCTTAAACAACCACTGCAAATGCCATCCCTCCTGGTCTGTATCTCAGGATCCCTGTTGAACTTCCCTTTTTTTCCTGAAAGGTTGCCTCTCTGGTATCTCCTGCAGAGAATTAAGGGGCCTAACGCTTCATGTATAAGAAAATTAACATCAAACTGAGGCAAGATTAAATGTTTAGATGTTTTGAATCAATTCCTTCCTTCCCTCCCCCTTACCCCCACCCCATTCTAAAGGTTTCTGTTCAAAGTCCAATTTGTATTTTGCTATTGGATCAGATGCTCTTTGTATGTGTATCACAATAGAAAGGTTTGTATTTTAGAAACTTTAAATAAATTATTATTTTAAAATATATGGTTACAGTTGATTTTTAGCTAACTGGTCAGTGCTAGTCCTTTGGACCTCCCCTAGGGTCAACGGGGAGATACAAGGATGACGAAGGTGAATTTATTTCATCTATGCAAGACATGAATTTTAGAATGAGATTAATTGCCCCTTGTTACCTCTCTCTAGTTATGAGAGGGAGAGTCAGGATAACTGGTTTAAATTAGACACGACTTTTAGAAAGATGAACTAAGGTATCGCACTAATAACTTTCCAATCTTTGTTGTCACTTCACATTTTTCAAGACTATTTACACAGAAAGAGAGTAGTCTTAATTTTATAATTCTAAAGGTTTCTGTTCAAAGTCCAATTTTGGTGATAGTCAAGTTTGCTGCCTTTTGATTCGCTTGATTTTTTGAACATAGCAGTAGATGCAGATTTGCAAGGATGCAAATTTAAGTATTATGCTGTATAAGAAATTTCTGGGATCTCTTCTTTGTGAAACCTGCTATGTAGACCATAACTTGTCATCTACAGAAAAGTGATTAGGTTATGTAGATCTCATCCTGCTCTCACAAGTGAGGTTGGTGTAAGACAGCAATTTTCTTTGCTTCCACATGCACTTCTACCAGTCCTTCCCCTCCACTTTGCTTGTGGGCTCATTGCAAGTTTTCCAGACATCAATCTGGAGCAAGCCTAGTAGAAAGATACCTGAAGGCATGATGTTGTCACTAGGCTTACATAATATCTTCAGTGTGCTGATGAGTTCAATGATAGTCTGAAGCTTTGGATGGTATAAAGCTTCAGTTGCTAATATTATAGAAATGTTGAGATACTTTATAGAAAGAATGAGTTGAGTTTTGAGAGGCGAAGTAATAGGAATAGGATAAAACTCAGAAATTCAAAATCCATGGACTCAGGTTCTAGCACAAGCTGCTGCTATAAACTGGAAGATTAGGACCACAGCAACTGAAAGTGGCAAGGAGAAAATGAGGAATCTAAGTGATAAAGCGGCTCATAGAATGACTGCAAACAACCATTTCAATACATCTTGGTTTTCCATTAGATAGGAAAGAAAGAATAGTATGAACTGTGAATTGGTGAGACTTCTAAAATATTATGTACTGTTCTAGTGATTGTAGTTTGGAAAGATCTCAAACTGAAATTAATGAAGAAGAAGAGGGTCAGTATGCTGTCTTCTGAAAAAAAAAAAAATGGAATACACTATTCACATAAGGCTAGGAAGAGATATGATTCCTATCTGTAGACACTCCAGAAAGAAATACCAGGGGACGGGAGCTTTTGGAGCTGCTGGATAACTTTGTACTAAACATTAGTTGATTTAAACTGCACATGCATACATTTAGACTGAAATTTAAAAGAAGATTTAGAACTACGTATATAAGACTAGGGAGCTTCTTGAGACAATATTCTTAAAGGACTGATGTAGAGAAAGTCTATCAGGTTTTGATATGGCTTTATTTGTTTATAAGGAGTTCTGTGATATGAGGTTTTGCAATAGCAGGGGAATAAATTCAGTAACTCATGGTACCTATTTTTCCTAATGCAGTTTAGAAACCATGCAGAATTGTGACAGTTCTTTGCTTGATGATCATTATCAGCTAATTATCAGCTAATCTGGGAAGCCCCTAATATTGCCAATAACATAGAGAAGGCTGAAAAAGTGAACTTGTTTTTCTCAAAAATAAAAAAGCAATCATTACTTGAACTGAGTTAGTGAAAGATACCCATTGCTGAAGAAAAGAATGTTAAAAGTTTTGAGGGAACACTTCACAGGAATACTATGACAGAATGTCAAGAATGGAGTAATAGTAGCACGAATGATACAGAATATGAGTCAAAATCACACTGAGAAAGATTATGAAAAGATTTGTTAGAGGGTGATAGTATACTGTACACTCGGCTAAATATTTTGATATGGAAATATACCCTGATAGTATGTTAGATGGTTAGATGTCTCTGGGAATTGTGTGAGACTTTAGCTTCCTTGTTGTAGATTTTTTAAATAAAATGTTGCTAAAATGCATCTGTCCCGAATATTCTATGTGTTACTAATTTGGAAATATTTAGAGACACACCAGTGATACATTCCTAAGAGTTTTATTTTTTTCTGTTTCCCTAAAATTCTTATGTGTAAGCATAAACCCTGGTAGAGAAACGAACTCACTTGTGTGGGAGAAAGTACCTATTCAAACAACAGCACTAATGAAAGGGAGCAGTGTAAATTGCTGGCAAAGCAAATTACTTTTAGCATGAATGTTCTCTTCTTCAAGGTCACTCTGGTATAAAAGTCCTTTGCAGCTCTCTTGCATTATACATCTCAATAAATTTATATTAATTACCAAAGTATTAGTGTTGCTTAAGCACATTTGTATACAAATAAGGTTGGGTAGAGAGGTGCAGCCCCTGTGCTGGGGAGCATAGTGAAGTCTTTTCCCTGTCCATGTGTGCTACGACACGTGACACATGTCACATATCCTTACATGAGGCCACAGCAATGGAGGGCTGGACGCAGACATGAAGGGGACACTGCGCAGTGCAGCATCTTCTCCATCTTGGTGACATATATAGAGCACTGGGCGATCTCATGTCCCTTCCCTCTAAGTAAATCCATGCCTAGATTAGCTGTAATTGATTAGTAGGGTAATTTTAGAAGCAATACTTTGTTTATGCTAGAGCATGTTTGTCTTCTGGTGACCCAGAGCTCTGATTCAAACCCCCAATGTATGGATAAATTTCTCCATATTAGAAGAGAAACCAATGATAAGCATGGAAATTTAAATTTCACTTCTAAAGGATGGGGGTGGAGAATTCTTTCTTCAGAGGTGCAAAATAGCTGTACAGAGGTTAAACCAGGTTTACGTAGTCATAATTCATTGTTAAATAGTCCCATGTAAAATTAATTTCCTCTTATTTGGGGAATGTATGTTGTACATGTGGCCTCATCTAATCTTTTGCCACTTTGCAAAGCAAAAAATAATTTTGGTTCCAGAGGATAGAGCAGCCTTCCATTATACAGGTTAAAGGATATGTGCTGCAGTTTATAAGGAGTGCATGTACATTATAAATTCATTTAATTGCTCTACAGAGGTGCCTATCCTAATTAAGACTTCACTGGCTTTTTCATTGAAAAGAGTTAAAATTGCCTAATTAGGCATGAAAAAATGAAGAAAAAAATTAATTTAAAACTCTTACATAAGTAAACTAAGATTCTGCCAAGTTTTAACTCACCTATAAACCTGGGATGTGTTTTATCCTTCTGCGTTTCAGTGTGTTATCCTCTTCAGCTGGCACAAGAATGGGGGATCTGAGGGAGAAATGTCTTGCTCAGGTGGTACTTGTCCATTTTGTGATTTAGGCAACTTCCCCATTTTGTCCGTGTCAGATGTATCATGCAGGTCGGTACAGTACGACTCTGAGTATGTTACTTTGGGACTTTCTTTTCTGAAAATTATGCTATCCAAAGAGGGTCCTGAGGAAGGGAAGCAAGCAAAGCAGAAGACAGGACAGAGGACTAGTAGAAACAAGGAAACCAATACACAAGGTAGAAGAAGTGAGGTCCTCTGAGTCGCCTAGGTCCTGTCATCTCTCTTTTCCCCCACTTTCTATTTTCTGATGTCACGCCTATTTTTTCAGTTCGCATCTCCCTTCTCTTCCTTCCTCCTGAGGAACACTTTCTACTTCATTATCTCCACAGATTTTAACTTTATTCTTCAGTCCCTTTATAAGGGGTACCCTTTATAAGGATACACAACATTAATATGTTTCTGAAATTTCACATCTTAAACTTTCTCCAAATACAGCACTAGAGATGTGAATACACACTGTGTATGGTTTCTCTGCTGCTGCATGGAATGAGCTAAAATTGGTGTTGGAGTACTTGCACAACTTCTGTATAGTTGGGAACTTATGGGGCACAATGTGGATATTAGCATCACCACTAAAGGCACTTTCTGTACTTTACAATTGTGCTATCACGTGAATAATACTAAACTAACTAATGTTTGAGTGGGGGTTCTCTGACATATGAATAAAATGTTATCTTTGTGAAATATGCAAAGCTTAAGTGGATACATGAATGAATTTTCATTTTGTAGGTTCCTTCAGATAGTAAAAACGTGGGGGCTTTTTTCTGATTCTTCCTTTTCTTGTCCTGACAGTACAAACAAGTGGAACAGTACATGTCATTCCACAAGTTACCTGCCGAAATGCGCCAGAAGATCCATGATTACTACGAGCACCGCTACCAAGGCAAGATCTTTGATGAAGAAAACATTTTGAATGAGCTTAATGATCCCCTCAGGGAGGTAAGATTAAAGTATTTGAGTAATTCTTCGTAGTACAAAAAACTTTCATATCTTTGCTATTTCTGTGTTGAAACGCTCTTTCTGATTCTATTCTGTTAACATTTAATTTCATTTGACCTAGTGAATGAATGACCAGGAGAACGAATTTTATATTAGATTGACACAGAAAAGCAAACAGATTTACAGTCTGTTCTGAACCAGCCTGTCACACAAGGATATAAAAGAATAAAATCCCATCTTTATTTGTTGAGAGAAACTCATAGTTTTCTTCAATTCTTTGAAATAGAGAGGGTCTGGACTGGAATGGTCCTGGGTGAAAGGTTTTTTCTGTTCTCCCGACTTGCTAACCACGCAGCTGTGCAGATGAAACCACTGAAAGCCACCAGAGAAGTGAGAGCTGCTTTGTTTCATTCTGTGAGCATCTGTGGTTAAGATGGTCTTTACTTGAGATGAAGAAGCTGGAGTATGATATATAAGCCATAAAAATCTTTTTTGTTGAAACTCTAGTCTGTATTCCAGTTTTGGGGTTTTTATTCTGCTATGCTATGCCATGTTATTTTGTGTGTGAAAGCAGCTGGAATTTTCTTTGGCAAGATGCTTGTGTGGGGGGAAGGCAGCGTTCGTCTTGCTGTAACAGAGCTAGCTGCTTAATGGCAATATAAATCTGATTGTAAATCTGATTGTCTTCTGTTGGGTGGTGCTTATGCCTGACCTACTCAAGAATGTTTGTGTTATCAGTTGGCTGGTATCCTCTACTGAATGGAGGAAGAAAAAACAGAGGAGAAGAATGAAGTTGAAAAATGCAGAGCGAAGAAAGCATAAACAGGAAAAAGAGAAAAGAAACATGAAAAGGGGAGAATAAAGGAGGAGCAGTTGATACGTGATGAAACTTGTGCAATTTTCAGTGGTACCAAGTAATGCATTTTAGTATCCCTGTTATGGGAGGAGTAGTGCTGAATATATGTCTCTGTGTGTGTATATATATAAAAAACCCAAAGAGCACAGGATCGTATCTGTACTTTTGGAAAGATCTGTGGAGGTTGGAGGTTCTTTAACAAGTTTTGCGGCATAAGAAGAGCACAGGTCTGTGATGAATTGTCTGTACCATTGGGTCCTGCTCTTTGTTGTGAAGGGAAAATGTGTCATCCAATCAAAACCCAATGAAGATCTAGATTTAAAATAGTAACATAGAACAATGCCTTGCCCGTTCATGGGCTCTGAGGGCAGCTGGAACAGTTTTGCCACGTCTGCTTATGAAAGTCTGATAGCGGCCTCCCTCCTTACAGACTGAGAATGGTGAATGGTGCCCAAAATTGCTGGGTCATTGCTAGATGGTCCAAGTCCAAAACAGGCCAAACTGTGATTGTTCTAACAATTTAACAATACAGATGACTGGATTCCAGCGCCTGCGCCCATTTAATTCCCTAACACCGGCGTAGCCTGAGTCCTTTCATTGCATTGTGAACCTGTAAGTGTTTTTGGAGGGCAGGTGGAGGGCTCTGGCGTCTGCACTGCCTCTGCCAGCTTACCCTGTGGCTCCCCTCGGTTGCTTTTGAAATGTCACGAGGAGAATGTACTATAAAAATCTAGCATGTAGGACAGGAATTATCCCTAGAGTACAGCGACAGTCAAAACATGAATCTTAGCCAGTAAAGAGCTTTTGTTTTGTTAAAAGAACAGAAGCATGCACAGATCCTTCAGTCACTGGCATCAGAAACAGTTTCATCTATTTCCACTTTTAAGGAAAGCATTTCTCCATAAATGAAGTCAAATACCCTTCCTTTGCAACAATTTGCAGTTATGGCACTCTAATTACCTGTCTTTTCCTCCTGTCCTCCATCCCTCCCCTAGTCCTGTTTTCTTCCCTTCCTTTTTTCTTATTGCTTAAGAGCAGCAAGGAAAATTTGGTCAAGCATTAAAAACAAAAAGCACTTCTGGGAAGAGATCAAGCATGGAAAATTTCAAAAATTAATGAGCCACTGAAAACATGGAGCAAGAATAGAATTTCACGGAAGGAGTGGCTTCTGGTTTTGCTGTGATCATGTTGTACTTAGCATGTCATCTTTGTTCTCTGTATTATATAAGAAAAAGATATTTACTCAGCTACAATCACATAGCACATTGCCCTGACAACAACATAGTAGTTGCTCCAGAAAAAAATCCAAAGTAAAAGAAAAAGTAAGAACTGGACAGTGGCAATGCCAGAAGAGGTTTCCCAATGAATCTGTCCAAATTCTGACAGTAGCTCATGCATCGTGCCCTAAAAACACCACTTAGGTGTTTGCTTAGTTCGGCAGTTTCAAATTCTATTTTAGCTACCACTGCAGTAGCAATTTGGAAGTGAAGGCAGTGGCTTTTTGATGTTACTAGTGAGTAACACGTTGGAGCCTTTTAGAGACAGAACACAATTGTTTGCATATTGGACGAGATATACATGTCAATAACTGCACAAGGCTATAACAGGTGATAGCACAGATACTCAAGCTGCATCATTCAAGAATAAATATTCACTGCATTTCTTAAGTTTTTATTGAACTCTGGATTTTATTATACTTTGAGTTTAGCATAGGGTAAGAACTAAACATTCAGAGTCTCCACAAGGCATACTTGGCTTGATGAAAGTAGCTTCTGTTGAAGACATTTAACTGAAACTATTATTTCCTGCTTACAGTAAGCAGAACAAAAGAAACCATACAAACTACTGCATAATTATAGCATGAATATTATCAAATGTTATAAAAAAAGTTGCAGTGTTTTCTGTTCTCCTTGTTCTCAGCCATTCATGTTTACAATATAGGCTGAAATTTTCCACTGCTAGGCTCTCTTCAACAGCAATGAACTTTTTTTGGTCCATGTTGTAAAATTTTGGCTCACTCCTTTTTAACAGACAAGTAATTATGCATGATATAAATATGGTCATTCAACCACTGAAAATATCTAAAGGACATAGAACAAACAGTAAAAATCTGCTGTAAAATTAATCCTTAAATGATAAATACTACTAAGAAAGATGTATAAACTTATAGTAGAGGTAAGACTTTTTTGATAAATTATGTCGAATGTTCATTTTACTGAGCTGAAAATTAAGGAGGGAAAATTCAAAGTAGTTCAGATGATTAAAATAATGAAAAGCTAAGAAAAGGTTTGATGCGTATGTGTGAACATCTGACTTTGTTGGGTAACAGAAGCAGAGTCATGTTTATTGTAGGCAATTAACTAGGGCTTCGTAAAAAAAAAAAAAAAAAAAAAAAAACCCAAAACCAAGTCCTTCTCTAGGACTACCCTATGTGACTTGCCCAAGGGCATAAAGGAAGCTTTTAGTGGAGCAGAAATACAGCCG